CTCTCTCTCTTCTGACACAAGTAACGTTTGCTAATCGTGAAAGCTACTGAAGTAATGTAGTTAGCCAAGAGCCCACACGAAGATGGATGTCAGTTTCGTCTTCAAAAATCGAGTTGAAGTGAGTTTTGTTGGAGGTGTACTAGACACATTAATGTTTGTAGGGGGGTGGGGGTGGTCTTTTCCAGATATAGAAAGAGCATACTCAGTTTCTGACGCTTCAAATAACGAATTTGACTGCATAGACTGGAAACTTCAGTGTCTAACTCCCATGATAAGGCGCATGGGTCGCACGTGCGCCATTTCTGGAAATTCGATCGACATTGTTCTAAATAGGCTGAAGTGGTAACTCGTGGATGAGGGAAGCTTGTGAAGCACCTACCTCAAACTTCATTCCAATGGCAAAGAGACCGACGATGAACAAGGGCGCAGTGGATGGTGTGGCTGAGAAGAAGTCTACGTTTCGCACAATAACTTCGGGTTCTACACAGCCATTGAATAATTTTCGATGAAGCGTGGTCGAATCTGGCGACGAGGAGAGACATCGCAAAGTCATCTTAGCAGAGAGCCATTGCAGGCTGATCTGAATGGGAGCAACTTAGGCGGCCACTTGGAACGCTTTCAAGCCACCACGATATTTAGCCTGTCGTGAAAGCTTAAAAAGATTGTTGGGCGCATTACGACGGGTAAGCCTGCGTCGTATGGCTCATATACTCCCCCCCTCCTGTCTTATAACAGTGAATTCCAAACCTGCAAGTCACCCGAGGAGAAAATTAAGCACTGGGGCGTAAAGGATGCAGTTCTGCGCGTGCTACATAGTTGTTTACTCACTTTTAGGCTCCATGCAACGGCAGGCTGCTCTTTTGAAGTCCTCTAACGGTAGCCGCCCACTTTAGCAAAAGAAACTTCGGAACACGCCGAAAAGTTTTTTTTTCTCTCAAAAGAAACGAGTGAAATATACAGAAGCCGAAATCATTTCACAGTAAAGGCCTTAGTATCGTTTAGCTCAAGCATCCACGAATGTATAGTGATCAAAGCACAGCATACTAATTACAGCACATATTTAAGACAGCAGCAAGCTTTTGAGTCTTCAAGAGCATGCTTAAGAACTCTTTCAAAGTAGTGCTGGTGATTCTTTATCGAAGTAATTTTTATTAGTCGTTCAGATTAGCTAACCAAGATTTGAACATCTGTTCGTTTCAAAATTGTAGAAAACAGGTCGGGAGGGGGGCTACGGAAATAAGAACGACCTAGGAGCCTAGCCTAACGGACTGACAAGGACACCGCCAGTCCACGTCAGGCCCTAGCTGATGCCAACGACAACTGTCCCCGAGACAGCGAATCCGAGTTTTGTACACAATAAACTCTCCTCCGGGTGGCTTCCAAATGGCGTACTTAGACAATGACAGCAGAGTTTGGCACCGTTACAACAAAG